AATTATCATGTTACCGGAATTCCTTCTTTAAAGACTATTTCATTATAAGTTTACAATTTCCTTCTCGCGTTCTGCGGGTGGCAAGGGAGGTGGGTGTTGTTGCCGTTGCTCCTGTTGGTGATTATCTTGTTTTTGTTGTTGTTGTTGTTATGTTACAATTGACTGTTCTTCGGCACACATTTTACCGTGTATTTTTTTCGCTGTTGAATTATTCGGTATATTCGTAGTCACTAACGTAATTTTATCTATTGAAGCCGAACATTCGAAAAAGTACCAAGAAATTTCTTTCTTGATGTGCCACAAACCCTATATGTGATGAATACTAGCTGAAAAAAAGTATATTGTGAATACACACCCAGATGCAGAATGATGTCCATTTTTTCGATGTAGTCTCTTTTGAGATTTATAAAATAACAACAAAAAGAAACACTAACACTATTTGCTCTTCTGGGTGTTGTTCGATATCACAGCCTTTAGGTGAGGCCTAAGGGGCGTGGCCTCAGCAAAGGGGGCGTGGCAATAGCTAAAGAGGCGGAGCTTTGAAACGCAACGTCGTCTTATAAGGGCTGAGGCTGCCATCACAGTCCCTAGTCCCAAGCGACACACACACGCCTACTTTCAGGTCAGTCACCACGCCTCTTCCCAGCAAGTTGTGTTTGACGTCTTGGCTGAGAGTTGATAACAGCTCTGTGATATCACGTGTGCTTAAACTTGAGTAGTTCCTGAAGTGAAAGGATATGCTGGATCTTTAAAGAACTGCTTCTGTAAAAAAAATCTAGAGGAGTTTCTCTTGCGGATTTTTTTCATTTGCCCTTGTCTAGTCTGCTTACCTAACATGAAGTTTTTTTTAAGTAGAGGAACATTACCTGCATCGTTATAATTTTATCACAATGCATCTTCAGGAGTTTGATAAATGTAATTATTGCCTCCGATAGTTCACCGCGATATTTTCACTGTAATATGAAATTGAATATCAGGACAGAACTTTATCAGCCAATGGTTGTATGCATACATGTGCACACACACACACACACACACACACACACACACACACACATTAACACACTATAACTATAACACTCAATTAACTATATGATTTGCGTGTAACGAGTTGAATTAATTTCTGGCAATACAACTATAAAAAAATCGTATTTTTTGTCGACTATGTATCACATCTTTACGAAACAACTCGTTTGCGTTTTTCGTGAGTTATTATAGCATTGTCAAATCTTCTTTATCCTTATTTCAAAGAGCGATTATTTTGCTTCATTTTCGAATTTCGTGTAGAGAAAATGTTTTCTATAATTCGCCTCCTTCATTATGGTCTTGTGGTTATCATACATTAAAAACGGGCCTCATTCCATACACATTTCGAAAAGACGATTCTCAAAGTTATTATTGTCCATCCCGATTATGATATTTTTCATTTATATTGTTATTGCTTTCTTTGTGTGAGTGAGGCTATGAAATTTTCGGATATATCGTTTCCTTATTTGGGAATTCACGCGTGTGATTGGGACGGGATCCTGGATTCTCTTGTTTTTCTTTTCTTTTGTTTTTTTGAACGTGGACATATCACGTTCAAATCGTTTATAATTTAGATTAAAATGCCGTTAGTGTAAAAAGGAAGATACATGGTTGCATGTGTGGATACGGATAATGCTGTGTGTTGTTAATGGTTAATAGTTAAAACAAATGTGCTAGACATCGAAGATTATATAGCACTATGGTAAAAAATTGTGGCGAAAAGGGTAAAAAATGACTTAACGATTAGGATAAGTGGACAGAACGAGGGGAAGAAGAAGAGAAGGAAAAGGGAGGAGGAGAAAAAAATACCATGCAAAATTAGTTGAGACGAAGAAGGGCAGAAGTCCAAGATATGGGAGATCCTCTATATTGGGCCCCAATCTCCGTCTCGTGAGTCCCCCCCCCTCCCCCCACGACAACAACGAGCGAGGGATAGGGGTTATATGTTGTCAAAAGGTTGAATATTACTGGAAATATCATGGGAGGATTTTAGAATCTAAATTTCATAGTCCAGACAGCAGGTGTAGTTGAAGTTATGGAACTTCACTTAGAAATTGTATTATCCATAAATTAGGTTAATGGCAGAAATATAAAGCTCAGGAGGATTTCGTAAATGTCTCAGTTAATAAGAAAAACTCACTTTGCTTTGTTTTCTTGACATTCGATCATTACGACAGAGTAGAGTGCTTTGCTTTTCTTCATGCGCGCCTTTATTTAGAAATGATTTTGTATATCTATTAGTGCTATATTCTTTACTAGCAAGTGAACCTTTTGCTGACAATAATCAACGGAAATCATACTTTTATTGGAAGGAAACACAGTATATAGATACCAGTACCGAATTATATGGAAAATTCGTTTTATCTGCTACGTTAATCATAAACCTACTAGTCAGGGTACGTGGTATTTTCAAAAAGTATTTTGTTCAATCACTCATACCCGTTTATTCGCACAGGTGTTGCACTACTAAAGGTGTCTCATCTTGCCAGGAATTAAGTGAGGAACCGGGCCTTATATATGGAAGGCCCGGGCGAACCTAGTCTTCGAAAATCTCGGTAACTTCTCGAGACAGTTGTACGCGAAGATTTATGTGTCAGATATTACTTGCCAATCAAATTCAGAGAAATTGGCTGCTTATAGAATGCTCCTTGAAATTTTCTTTAGATTATATTATTCGCTGCATTTAATTCACGTTTAGCATTTAATTCAATACCTCGTACACACTGAAAACGCAAAAGAGACTTGACATGTATAGCAGACGTAAGGACATTTCTTAAATGCTGATCTTTGTGTTCAAGCACTGATTAACGTTGAAAGCTAAACATGTATCGCTGCCAGAGACTTGAATTCAACAAACACGACAATTTTCCTGAATTTTGTTGGAGGCAGTGAACCGTCTTAAGGAAAACAATACTCTTATTCAGCGTTACTAGAGTCATTTTAGTTATCATGAGTATCAAAATATGACGATATAGATGAGGAAACTAAGAAATGGTCATAACAATAGTGATAATACTGTGATATCAACTTAAAAGTTTTTTTTTTACACTCTATGCGTTTCGAACAATATCATCATATGCTATTTAGCAGAACTGTCTACCTACCTTAGTCCCAAGTTATATTTAAGTAATTTTCTTCTGCTTCTGAAGGGCGGGGTTTCACATACGGAATTGCCTATACATGTACACAACATGTTTATATTGATTTATTCATGCTTATATTGATTTATTCATGTTATCGTTTTTTTTAGATATTATTTATCTGTATTTTCTCATTGAGCCGAAGATATACTAGACAGGTTGACGATGGATAATCACACTGATTGGTGATTGGGCATAATTATTTGATTGTTAACCGGGTTTGTGATGCTTGTTACTTGAAATACATAGGTGTTATTTGAACATTTTACTTTAAGTTAATCATCAACCTTTGAAAGGCCTCGTTAAAGAAGTTATGGAAAAAACTCATCGAGCCCAATTATCATCATTATTTTTATTACCACAACTATTATCATTATCATTTGTAGTAGCAGTTGTGTCAACAGTTACAGCAGCTGTGATATTATTTTGTTTGTATAGAATAATCCTAATTATTTACTTTATTTTCACTTTTATTACAGATATTTAGCATTACCCGTTCGCATTTTCAGTAAATTTAAGTTATACCTCTAATGTTCACTCTCACGTGACTGTTTTCTATCATTAGTTCATGAGTGAACATCGCATATTTTCTTTGTTCAGTTTTCCTATTGTTGGAAATATTTCACTTCTCGTTATCCAGTATTACACGAATGACTATATAACTGCGAAATCATAAATTTGAAGTAAATATTACAATATTTTCTTCGCGTTAACAAGTAAACGGCATGATGATTATTTTAGTCACAGCGTGGCTTGTAACACTTCAATGGCAGACTATAAGATACGTACTATTTTAGGAAAATTTCTAGAGTTTCACACAGCGATCAAATCTTGCGGTTATTATTCCTTCTTTCAATTATCAACGCTGCAATACGAGTGAATCCCTTGTTATTTTCCATCGCAGATGATATAAATGAAATCATTGGCAATATTTACGAAGTGACCTTACCCCCTTGATATCAAGTCCCTGATACTCCAGCCAGTCCTGGGAAATCCACCAACATCGCCTATGAACCCAAGCCTTTCCAACCCGAGGACTTCGCTCCCAGACCCCCATCCTATCACTGTACTTTCCTATCGGTAACTCCGCCCTCTGACCCTCTACCCGATGACCGTGGACTAACTCACCGCGCGGGATTTTCGTCTATTCTGACGTTATATTTCGCCTACATAGATTATTTCATGCATATTTTTAGATTATTAGTGTGGCATTATATTTTCATGTAAATGTATACCAAATTATTAGGTTTTGCACTACTTTCTGAGTATCAACTTGTGAAGGTAGTACCGTAGGTTGAAAAATGTCTATTTTCGGTCCTGTTCATTACAGGCAAAAATCATCTTGCACAACATGGCTGTGGGAAACTGAAACCTTGTTTTACATCGGACGTGATTTATTGCAAACACCGGATGATGACTTAGCCTTATAGCGAATAGGTTCAGATCCGTATGGGCGGAGTCACCGACGCAGGAAATAAATTTTAGGCAGACTTATCCCGCGGAACCATGCGTATTTTTTCCCCTTACATGCATTCTTGTTTTCAGTTCTATTCATTATTTATGGAGATACACTCTTGTCTCGTTCATGGTGTCGGAGTTACATTACATAATAAAAAAACCCTACTTCTTTATACTTAAACCTACGTACATATATAAGCGTGTGCGCGGATATGTTTAAATAACATATGAATTAACATCTGTATACCTACATGCATATACATACTCATATATGTGTGTGCCCTATTTCCTTTGTTGTCCACATACAGACACATATTGTATTCGTCAAACACAGGAAAACCGATATCCATTCTCCCGTACAGTCAGCCAGGAAAGATGAACGCCATGTTCCGGACGTTGCTGCTGCTGGCCCTTGTCCTGGTCGGGACGCAGGCGGACGAGTGCTCCCTGACACCTGTCATTCACATCCTGTCATATCCCGGCTGCAACTCGAAGCCCATCCCCTCCTTTGCATGTCAAGGAAGGTGCACGTCGTATGTCCAGGTCTGTTGGATTTTTTTTTTCGGATTTTGTTATTTTCTATTTTCATACTTAGTTAAATGTTATTGTGGAAAATCCGAGAGGGAATGAAAGGTTAGGGCGATAATTATTGAAAATGATGATGGTTACGAAATGAAAGGAAAGTGGCAAAGAGCAAAGTGTACAGATGGTTGACTGTAACCCCTATATCAAACAAGCCTTAACAAACACAGCATAGACGGGGCCCATAACACTAAATAAGACAACAACAGAATAATAACGAATAATCCCAGTAAACCATACTTTTCAAAAGAACAAGCAATACACCCCCCCCCCCCCCCGATTACAAATGTCCTTAGACTCCTCTTTCCCTCTCCGTGAAGGGGCGGAGTCTAAAGGCCAAGGTAGGTTACAACCCAAGCGGAGTCAGGAGTCCTTTCACTGAAACCTTGACTTGAAATTTAATAAGGAATTCCCCTACTAAGTGGCTTGGGCGGTTTCTCTTGTGTGTGGATATGCTCGTTGGAGATCATATGGTATAGAAGGACGACTGTATATAAATGTATATATATATATTTTTTGGTTATCAGGTTGTGGTGGTGAAAAAAATAGCGAGAAAAGTATGTTGTGTGGTTATTCAAAATCGATTGTATTGAGAAGAATACATTATTTTCGGTGCCACTAAAGATAATGGGATACTGAAAGTAATATTCATAAAGAGATAAATTTGGTTATCAGGTTGTGGTGGTGAAAAAAATAGCGAGAAAAGTATGTTGTGTGGTCATTCAAAATCGATTGTATTGAGAAGAATACATTATTTTCGGTGCCACTAAAGATAATGGGATACTGAAAGTAATATTCATAAAGAGATAAATAAAATAACACTGATATAGAATTTCAGTGAACAAAATCATATAAAAAAGGAAACAGAATTACGATAAGCATATCAAATATATATAAAATGAAATAGTAGCGGAAATAATTAACTTGAAAACAATATGCCTCAAAAAAGATACAACTATTACAATAAGCCACAGCAATCTTACCATTGCTAAAGCTATGGTCGACCTTGGCTTCGAACCCAAAACGCCTTCAACCGCAGATTCGGAGAAGGTCAACTTGTGAAACTCCAGGACAAGCCGCGGTTGGTAATTTTTCGAGGTTATTTATTTTTGTATATATATATATTTTTTATTTTCACCGCAGGATCAGTTGATTATTATCCGGAGTCGAAATGAGTACATAGAGCTTCATAGAACTTGTCTTTTTTATGTAACGTGGAGAAAGCACCTGGTAGCAGTCATTTCTGTAGGAGAAAATGTGCAGCTCCGTTGATGTAATTTCCGTTGGAGTGCCTGTGGTAGAGTCTGGGCCATTTATTGAAGAGAAAGTAATTTTTTTCTCTCTAATTATACATGAAAGACCACTTTCCAAAAAGCAAGAAGGATATGCAGCAACCGAGGGTCAGTTTTATAGTTGTTATAAGGTATTAGCATCTTGCATTGCCATCACTACCAATATCCCTTAATACCACTAATATTAATGTTGCTGTTGATAAAAAAAAGTAGTTACACGGTCTCTCATTCCCCCTTAATAAACGAAAACATTTTTTTCACTTAATAGATCCCTTTAACCCCCCAAAATTCTAACCATCCTCCCGACATAACGTTTAATAATATCTAAACAAAAAATCATCCCTCTCTCTACGCTTTTCGCCCCACCAAGGTATCCGGCAGCAAGATCTGGCAAACGGAGCGGTCGTGCATGTGTTGTCAAGAGTCTGGCGAAAGGGAAGCATCGGTTACTCTCAACTGTCCTAAGGCACGACCCGGGGAACCAAGAATGAGGAAGGTAAGTTTTGGATTTTTCAGAGAAAGAACGAATCTCGTGGGATGAAAGAAGAGGGGAGGGGGGGGGATATCGAATTCGTATAAGTGGTGTGTATGGAGAGAGAGAGAAAGAGAGAGAAGAAAGGGATTTTTTGATATGCGTGTCCTATGCGATACTGATATTGTGGTGTGTATTATGGTGTGTATAGGCGATAGTGCCCAGACTCCAGATGAAGATAATCATGGCAGTATTTGCAATTTGGATGAATTTTAGAAAGCTACTTCCTACATTGTAATTTTACATGTCTTTTTTATTCCACGATAAAAAAATCAAAACTTTAATTACCAACTATAATCAACGTCGAAATCTGGGTTCTACGTCGCAGTCATTTGCCGTAATACTAGCAATATTTTACTGCACTTCGTGTGCATATTCCAAAAGGATTGTGTATCACATATAAATCGTACACAAAAACCTCCGTTTGCAGATCCTCACCCGAGCACCCATTGACTGCATGTGCCGACCCTGCACCGACGTGGAGGAGGGCACAGTGCTGGCGCAGGAAATCGCCAACTTCATCGAGGATTCGCCCATGGAGAACGTCCCATTCCTGAAGTAATGACCACCGCGCCCATGAAAAACTCTCCCCGTTGCCGACCTGTGATTTCGAAGGACATAGAACCTTGTTTTTACTTTCGTTGTTCTCTTTTTAAAAAGACTTATGTAAGCATGTGATCAAGAAAGGAAGGACACGTTTTTTTCTGTAAATTAATAATCCAATGAATGTTTCTACCTCCTCTTTACCAGTGTGTGTTACTCCGATTTATAATGTGGAAATCATCCGATACAACACCAGGAGGGAACAATACTCGCTCTCTCAGAATTTACTTTTTAAGAGTGTACTTCAGTGCCTTTGGAATACATAACACATAAGTTTGCTTTGGGATGATTCTCTTTACATCAAAGGACATGATATAGTATTAGTGAACTACTGAAGTTCCCCCCAGTGGTGAAACAGTGAATAAATCTCTCGACTTAGACCAGTGAGTGCGTTATGATTTATTTATTTTTTTCCCCAACAACTGTGAATTAACAGAGGTCGTGTTTGTCTGTAGTGCATTGCTCGTAATCCGGAACATTTTGCTGTTGACGAAATAGTGACAGCTGCCCAAGAGAAATGATAATCAATGGTTAAGTCATTTGCCCAATAGACCATAGCTGTCTGTCTGTTTTATCACTAATCGCTGTGAACATTGAAGAGCAGAACATGATATAGATTGTTGTCATTTAGTATGAAATGAGTGTTATATATAAATATATTTATGTGTATCCTTTTTCTATGCAATGTTGATCGGTAGTCACAGAATATAATATAATTTACACAGAGGTTTTTATTATCCATTATGTTGGGGAGTGAATACATAACGTATTATAATAAGAAACAAAGACCCAGAGTAGTTTGTAGATGAATATGAAATTAGGAAGGATAGCATATACTGATGCTTACCCTTAAATGCTTTTAATATTATATCTTCTAAGGGAAAACTTATCATTAAACGTGATTTTTTTTCATGTTTACTTTCTTAATTTCTTTCGGTTGGATTCATTATCTTTCTTATGTTTATTTTCCACAATTTTTGTAGACATTACCACCATTATCACCGCTGCCTCTGGTATATTTCCATTTTTTTCTTGAATGTATACAAACAACCCCCATGTACATATACATACATACATACATACATACATACATCCATACATACACACATACACACACATACACACACATACACACACACACACACACACACATACACACACATACACACACACACACACACACACACACACACACACACACACACACACACACACACACACACACACAGACATATATATCTATATGTGTTATGTATGTATGTATGTGTGTATGTATAAAGACGGATGCAGTATCTAACCTGAAATTCTAACATTCTTGGAACGTTACTATAACGTCACAACGTGTTCCATCGTTTCCGGTTCGAAACGGATATCTGATTAGCCAGTAAAACAAATACAGCAAAATGATACTAATACAGTAAAATATTCTAGTCTCGGATGCTAAAATTAAGGTTAAATTCAATATATATATATTTATATGTATATGTATATATATATATATACATATATATATATATATATATATATATATATATATATATATATATATATATATATATATATATATATATATATATATACATACACACACACACATAAATAAATAAACAAATTTATATATATATAAATATATATATAAATATAAATATATATATATATATGTATATATATATATATATATATATATATATATATATATATATATATGAATATCTGATTTAATGATAGTCTAGATTTAGTTTAATTAATTTTATCACACACACACACACACACACACACACACACACACACACACATCCACACACACACACACACACACACACACACACACACACACACACACACACATATATATATATATATATATATATATATATATATATATATATATATATATATATATATATATATATATATATATATATATATATATATATATATATATATATATATATATCTCACAAAAATGGTATGCCATCCAATCCACATGAATAATAAGTTAGCATGCGATTTCATATCTATACAAAGATTTCCTTGTTTATTCATAATACACAGAATAACTGTAATGTCCTTGATATCTTGCTCTTGTAAAGGACAGACGGTATGGGTACAAATAGCACGTAATAGACGGCACTGAGCGAGCCATGAAGATGATTAGACTGGAATAAATATGCATACGATCTCTCTTCTCTGTGGGAATAACCCTCGTTTCTCTCTTTAACTTTCAAAAACGTATTCATTCTCGTTCGTTGTGTCTAAGTCTCTCTCTTTCTCTTTCGGCTATTGTCTCTCATCACCTCTTCCTCTCATTCTCTCCTCCTTTTTCCCCTCCTCTTATAAAAGTCCTTCTAACAAAAAAGGAACACTTCTAACTACTCCCTTTCTTCAAAACGTACACACAAGCACACGCACAAACACAAACACACACACACACGCATACACACACACATACTCAGTAACACACACACACACACAAACATACACACACTCAGTCACACACACACAAACACACACACACTCAGTCACACACACACAAACACACACACTCAGTCACACACACACAAACACACACACACTCAGTCACAAACACACAATCACACACACACAAACACACACACACCCAATAACACACACGTGCCGAGTCTTGTGTAACAGTGAGTGGACAGAAACGGATTCCACGGATACGCTCACCCACTCCAACTTTACCTCCTTCGGGATCCTCTCCTGGGAACTTTCTCCGGAGGGTCGAGGAGACATCCGGGAACTGGGAGGTGAGCGGGAAGGGGGGTGGGGGAGAGAGGGAGGGAGGGGGAGTATGGGAAGATGTCCAGGGGGATAGGAGGGGAGAGGAGGGGAGAGGAGGGGAAGGGTGAGGGAGGAGGGCAAGGTAAAGTATGCTGAGCGAGGATAGTGAGTGAAAGTGAAAGCCAAAGAGGCGTGTCGTCGTGGGGGCAGAGGGGTAGGTGGGAGGGAGGAGAGGGGGGGGGAAGGGGAGCACGTATGAGGGTATGAGGGTATGAGGGATTACGGGTATGCACATAGGGGTGGGTGCAAGTGGTAGGGTATAGGGGGCCAGGGGACTAGTGTAGGAGGTAAGGGGATGGCTATAGAAAGGTAGGGGTGGGAGGGGAATATGGGTATGGGGGAAAGGGAGGGTGAATGGGAGAGGGAAGGGGGTGTTAGAGGTAGGGGGATGGGCGTAGAGAGGGGGGTGTGGGTAAGGAGGAGGGAGGAAGAAGGAGGGGAAATGGAACAGTGGAGGAGGAAAAGACTGGAGTACCCGGACGTACTGATAATGAGGCCATGAGATTTAAAGAAAGGCATTTGTTCAACACTTCACTGACAAGAAGAGAGGAATAGGATCTTCAAAGTGCGTTTTAAGTTAATTATCAGGATTTAAAAGATACTTTCACTCATGGAGATTATAAGTTCAAAGTGATGCGCTATCATGAGCCTACGAAAAACTGAATGATAACATTAGAAATAGAAAAAAAAACACGAGTGAAGATTTATACAGTACGCAACATTTCTCGGAAATTCGGGAAATTCTGGCGATACAACTTTCTCGCCAAACATGAACTATTTGTGTCTCTAATTTTACACCAGTGACGATTCTTAAACTCCGAGAAAGAAGAAAGAACCCAAAAACATTTAAGTTGAGTCACTTGCTAAAATAATGTTTTCGATAAATGAAACTTCGAAGCATCGAGACAAAATCCGGCATTTGGTGAGATTTTCACCGAGTGACGAAATTCACTGAAATATTTATGCGACACCAAGTACTAGAATTTAAAACAAACAACATATAATCGCTCTCAGAAAAAAGTGAAATAAACACAAATTATTTATTATCTATAAATTACACATTTAACGATGAATAGTCAAGCCAGCTTCCATCAAACCAATCAAAGAAACTTGCGCAGGTTAATGTAAATACTGGGTGTGGATATTTGATATTGCATAACTAGTTTAGAGGATCAACATTTTTTTTTTTTGCGCCATATGCTGATGTTAGGCGAGGAAACTGTAATATAATTAGAAGGCCCTTGCAGAAGTCACAAGGGTGTGTCTGTTTATTCCGGAAATTGTGGTGGGTTTTGACTCGAACTTGAGAAAGTGTGATGTAATAAAGTTGTTTTCACGTAATGAAGAATGAAAGAAGCAAAGCGCCTGATTAATTTATTTGTTTATTGTTTCTGGAGAACCTCTACTAGGTAAAAGCTGTCTGTATGCTCACACATTGGAACACACACACACATGTATATGCATGTATATATATACATACATACATATGTATGTGTGTGTGTGTATTGAGCAAAACGATATATATATATATATATATATATATATATATATACGTATACATATATATATGTATGTATGTATGTGTACATACTTAATTATATATATATATGTGTGTGTGTGTGTGTGTATGTCTGTGTGTGTGTGTATGTATATATATATATATATATATATATATATATATATATATAGCGTTTTGCTCAACACACACATACACATCCTGCTTATATACTCCGCGTATATAAGCAAAAAGAGAGCAAGAGAGAGAGAGAGAGAGAGAGAGAGAGAGAGAGAGAGAGAGAGAGAGAGAGAGAGAGAGAGAGAGAGAAAACAGATTTAGATTTGAGATTAAGTAGGAGAGGCCAAACACGTAACGACTGAAAATCTTGTATGAAAAGACCCAGCCTTTTTTCTCTTTCTGTTTATTGACTCATGCATTACAGAGAACAGGGATGGGAAGCTTCGGGATAGTGAAGCCCCGAGTTTTCTTTTCGAGAAGACCTTGAGTGAAGCAATGGTACGTTAAGGGTCGCGGTGCTGAAGCCTTGAATTGAGGGGTGAATTGTATGACACCTTGGAGCTTAATGTTAGCGTTTCCTGTGACTCACAAGATTATCAACATTAATACGAGAATGGGTATGAGTGACTCTTATCCTG